AACACACAATCCTGGCCCACTTTGAAGTCATAAAGGTTCGCCCGCGAGAGAAATATAGCCTCTCCCATTGCATTTCAGTCACGTCGTTTTTTTAGCCTCTATTTGCGCACCTAATAAGGTTATTTCCGTAGATTCTTGAAACCCACGGGGAATTTGAGGATAAGACGAGCCGGAGTAGATAAAGGACATGGCAGTTTTGAGGATGAGAGGAGCCGGAATAGATAAAGGGCATAACAGTTTTGGTCGCTGTACCGAGCGCGGAGTTTTTTTCACAGAGGCTACCAGAGACGGGTGGTGGGGGTGGGGGGGGTTTCTCCAACGGCGTTATATCCAAGAGAAATCGTGCAGGAATCGGTTATGGTGACCGGTTTCTCTTGGCACGTGTCTATCAGGGTCTGTATCGCTGCCGGCTTTCCCAGTGGAAGCCGTGTTAAGCCCGTGAAATGTAGGTCGGTGACGGGCCTCCATACATCTCTCCATAACGTGAGAATAATCCGGGCTGCACGTGCTCCGCCGTCACCTGCGCGTCGCTGCGTGTGTCCGTGCGCCCGCAGCCAGCCGCCGCCGGGTGTGAGCCCCGATGATGCGGGCGTATTATGCAGGCAAGCACGGCCGCCCCGCCGGCCGTCAGGGCCGGGCGGTGGCCCGCCCCACGGAGTTCGCCCCGTCGTGGCGGCGCTGTCTGTGCTCGTGTCGGTGTCTTTCGGTGTCGGTGTCGGTGTCAGTTTCATGTCCGTGTCCGTGTCTGTGTGCGGGTCCGTGTCCGGGTCCGTGGTCCATGTTAGTGTCGGTTTTGGTGTCTCCATTGGTGTTGGTGTCAGTGTCTGTATCGATGCCGGTGCCGGGGCCGGTGCCGGGTCGTGTCGGTGTCGTTGCCGTTGCCAGTGCCGGTGTTGATTGCGGTGTCGATGGCTGGTGTCTGTGTCGGTGTCGGTGCCGGTGTCGGTGCCGTTGTCGGCGTCAGTGTTGTTGCCGGTGCCGATGTCATTGCCAATACTGGTGTACGTCGGTGTCTGTCGGTGTCGGGCGCCGATTCGGCATCAATATCGATGTCGGTACTGATGTCTTTTGGTGTCGGTGTCTGGACAAGCGAGCGGCGCGGCCGGCGTTCGGCGGGCGACGGCGCGGCAACTGATGGTCACTCTGAGCCGGCGCCGGCCGCGGCTGAACGCGTCCGGGTGATGGGCCTGCTTCCGGCCTGCCCGGCTCGAGGCCGAGACGACGCCCTCGGCGCCGCGCGCTGGCCGGCCGCCCAGCGGTGGCCCTCGCGCCGGTGGGGGCCTCTCCGGCGCCTGGTGTCCGGCACGGCGCCGCCTGGACCCACAAACACCTGGCCGTCCACCGAGAGGTGGCACTGTCGTGCGTTACTGCGCGCCGCGTGCCACGGGCTCCGAGATGTCAGCAATTATTGAACACCAATTAGTGGAAAGGGGCTGCCGCGGCAAGCGGTCGGAGAGCTCGCATTAGTATGCTGCGCGGCATCGTCTGGTGGCTGGTGCTGCGCCTGCATTAATGAAAGGCGCGCGGGATATAACATTTATACATTGCCGAAGTTGTTGGATTCGTTCGACTCACGTGAGTGGAGCCTCCCCCACAGCGTGCACGCTGCCGTGTTCGGCCGCCTTCCGGGGCCCTCTGCTGGCGGTAATTGCGTCTCCGGACCGGCGGCGGTCTCAGTTTGGGATTTGTCGATAATGGGCTCGGCTCAGGATATAACTGAAGTGCTTGGCCCGGCAAACATGTTTGGCTCCCGGCCGGACCGGTCAGCCGTGTAGCGGAAGTCGGCTGACGTTGGCTCCTAGGTCACGTGATGTCGGAACGGCGCGGAACAAAGCCGGCTTCGGTCGTATCTGGCTAAAAGATTGCTGTGGTGATGTGCCCAGCTAAGGGCACCGTGCTTTGGAGGTGGACTCAAGGCGGTCGATTCGACTGGGCTGTTCAGGGCAGTTCATCAAGCTCTGCTGGTTTTAGCATCTGCTATGAGTCTGTAGACCGTTCGGGAACAACATGCCAACTGATTACCAATAATGAACCTGGTTTTGCTGTCCCATCGAATGTTCGCTGGCGGATTCTTCGCTCAAGAAATATTGAAGCGTAATCATCATCTCCGTTTTGAAGGGTGTAAATGTAGAGACAGGTGACATGTAATCATGGTCAGCGCAGACGAATTTTTGTGAGGATTACTTTAGCTATGAATTGATCGAGCGCCGCGCAGAGCCACGCTGGTCGGCACTGAACCCTCCCAGCCGGATAATGCAACCTCCAGCTGATGATTGATGATCTGATGATCTGATGATCTGATGACTGATCTCGTCCCCGTGGGTCATACCAGGTTTTTGTGATTTATTCTTAAACTCATGGTCATAACGCCAGCTAACGCCATTCCTTATGCCGCATCTGTGGCCGCGGAGGTTTTTGCGCGCCGCATAATGCACTGGAGCCAGCGCACATATCAGAAATATTAACTAAGGCTTTTTAAAACCCCAACGGCATTCGTCATTACGAATGCCGTTGGGGTTATGCCGTTCATCTCGTGAAATAGGCGGGCAAGGCATGTTTATCATGCCGGTATCTTTGTCTTCTTTCCCGACTCATACCGCACACACGCAAATGAGTAATTTTCCTTTTGAGCGTACCCAGGACGCCCTTCAAAAGCGCCGCCTCTGCTGGGAGCTCCGGCGAGTTTGGGCGTGATCAAAGGGAGCTGCTGGGTTGAAGAAACCATTCCCAGGGTGGCCCGCTCCCCAAGCCATTTGATCTTCAGCGGTTTCCATGCTGGCGCGGCGTTCGCGCCGTTACAAGGTCACAAGCGGCTGAATCGCCGCGCCGGGCGCCTTGCACTCGGCGGGAGTTTCCACGCGGCCGTGTGGACCGGCCCGCGCCGCCGGTGCGTCGTCGCAGCCGCGCCCCGGGCGGAGCCGTCCAGGCCGGAGCCGCGTGGCGCCGGTGTCGCGGCGCGGGCGGCTGTCGCGTGAGGCAAGGCGGGCTGATGCTCGGTGGCTGCCCGCCCGATGGTCTTGCGACGTCGGCTCTGAGGGGCTCGTGCCTGAGCGCCGCCGCCGCCGCCACGCTGAGGGCCGCCGCAGGTCCCGCCAGTCGGTCCGCTTCTGCCGGCATTCTTGTTGTGTGTTTTGGGCTCGGTTGGGGTTGGTTTTGATCTCTTGGGGTTGGGGTTGGGGATTGGGGTTGATTTCTTTCGGTCTGAGCTGACCGTTTCTGGGCTGGAGGATTGAGAAGAGAGGTAAACAGAGGTGCTGGTGCTGTGGTCGTACTGAGATGCTGTGATCCCGAGACTCGCCTCACATAGATACCGCGATCCCGAGACTCGCCTCACATAGATACCGCGATCCCGAGACTCGCCTCACTGAGATACCGCGATCCCGAGACTCGCCTCACATAGATACCGCGATCCCGAGACTCGCCTCACAGAGATACCGCGATCCCGAGACTCGCCTCACAGAGACACCGCGATCCCGAGACTCGCCTCACAGGAACCGCGATCCCGAAACTCGCCTCACAGAGGTACCCACGATCCCCGAGATTCGCCTCACAGAGGTCCGCAATCCCGAGACTCGGCCTCACAGAGATACGGCGATCCCGAGACTCGCCTCACAGAGAGCGCTACCGCGTCGCAGGCGCCGATGCGCAGATGTGCGAGTGAGACTGCAATCCGAGGCGGTCGTCATGCTGACCTCCGCTGACAGCAGCGGTCGTGCACACACGCGTGAGAAGACCCTGGATAGAAATGGCGCTCGCGCCATCCACTGTGAGGGTCGGCGGTCACCGGAGCGGCGGCAGCCGGCGTGCGACGCCCATTGTCCAGCGAGGGCCGGAGAGCCCCGCTCGGGGGCGATCAGAGCGCCGCTGGCGGTCCGCGCCGGCTGCCGCGCTCCGCCCCAGCGACACGGCAGGAGCTCGCCGCCGTCTCCGCGTCCGGCCGCCGCCGGTCGACGCGCGGCGACCATCGCCGGCGAGGCTGACGGTGCAGGGGCCTCGCCACCGTGCGCCCCGCGCCGCTGTGGGCTGGTGTGCGTGCTGCGGAGGCGCTTTCGGGTCCATCTGTGGGGTGTCCGGGCTTGTCTTTGGTTCACTGATCCGAATAGAGATTGGTGGGCGTTTCGCCTTGTCCAGTTGCACGCATCATTACGTAAGGGTGGTAACCTCATGTGGAAAGCAGTAGCATCGACGGTCACCGTTATGGCCTGCGTGGTTTTGTTACACGTAATTGGTATGCGTTTTCGAATGTTCAGAGAATTTGGCATTCATCCAGCTGATTGTGTCGGAATGAAGCTGGCTGGAGAAGCTGCGTCATTATTAAAGTTAATCTACATCCCTAAAGAGCGTGGTGAAAGACGCATTCCATCCGTGCTTGGTCTTTCCGCGGATCTTTTCGTTCTCAGCGCCAGGCTCGTCGCACTGGTATTGCGTTCCGTCTTTTGCTTGCGCCGTGCGTCATCACGGGTACGAACAAACCCTATGCCAACCTTCAACCGGCAGCTGTATAAGTAGAGTGACATCTAACAAACACCTCCCCCCCCCCCCTAAAAGTACACCGTTCCTGCCATGCATCTCATGTGCTGTGCTGGCACGCCCATCACCGATATCATCAAGATCATCAGGACCACTGCTTTGTTAGCCGACGCCATTTTGTTTTGCTTGGCTAGAAATGATTGCATGACGGAGTCACGTAGCGCTTGAATTGCGTCGATAACGAGCCCATCAGACAAGAGTGCACTGCTGTGTTTCATTCCAACGAACGTGACCGTGGATGGTCAGATCCGGCCTGTGCCAGACCTTTGCTGTTACGCTCATCGCACCCAAAATGGATCAAGTCTTTTTCGGAGGTTCTGGGTGCGGCAATCCTCAGTGGAATGAGCAGCCTCTATGCTCTGTCGTTGTGCTCGCCGTAAAGAGAATGGCAGGTCTGTTCCGATGCGGCAGAATGGTGTAGTGAGAGCCGTCCTGCGGACCCCAGCTGACGACCGCTGCCTTCATTGCAGGGAGTGTCGATCTGCCGGATAACCAGCCGTTCGCCGTCGACGAGAATGAGGGCCTGTCCGGATACGACAAGAACCTTTATCTCTACAGCGTAAGTCGTCGGAACGCCCGTCACGCAGCTGATGTGGGGATGGACGCTCGCACGGTTCTGGGAACGTTGCGTAGATTAAGAACCGCGCTCGGCTTGTGCAACACCAGAGTTCGCTTGATGCTTGTTTTTCACCAGTGACGCAATGACGGGCCACAATGGCGTATACGTCGGCCGCGTCTGCCTCGGTGTGGACGTCTCCCCAGCTCATCGACGCCCCGCTGTCCAGCGAGGGGACGTGCCCCGGTGCCAGCGGTGTGGAAGTCGCAGTGCCGCTTGTGCCCCGCTTCCCGCCGTTCGGCAGTGGCGGGCCCATACAGCCTGGCTGGGCACGGCTCTGGCGTATTAAGGTCGCACTGGGCGCATGCGGGGCTTCATTAGCCCTGCGCGCATCACCGCGATAGATCGCCTCATTTGCAGTCAGGACGCGTTTCGCCATAGCCAAACACTTGTTACGTGTGCACTTCTTTTTTATTTTTGGGGGGCTGATGTCTCACTTGGGCTTGGCGCATTTGTGCCGTCGGTGTCCCGGTGGTGATTGCTGCTAGCGTCTGCTGCAAGGCATTGGTCGTGGTGGACACCCGTTGTTGCTCTTTGCGTTATTATTGGCGCTGATGTTGCAAACCGGTCGTCATTGAGCGGCTTGTACCCGTGACCCAGACCCGGTTCCTTGGGCGGAGCGGCCGATGCTGCTGGGAAGGCCAGCCGATGGCCGCTATCCATCAGTGAATCTTCTTAAACCATTGCATTTGTTCCGATGGCTCACTGATCGCAGAGTCGTATCGATTCCACCGTTCTTGAACCAACAATGTCGAACTTTGTCAACAATGTCATCGTTGCTTTCGACACTCCCGCGTGCGAGCGCCGTGTAATGCGGTCTTCAGCAGGACCAGCTCTAAGTCAGCGGGCCGTGCGGCAGATTCGATCAGTGAGCCCTCCCGCTGCTGGGCCCGGCTCGCCGGCTGGTCGATGGGTGGCGTCATCAGTCACAGCTGTGTCGTCGGTCGTGCGCGGGCTCTGCCTGTGGGTGTGAAAACATAGAGGAAGCGAGCAGCCATGTGACAGCGGGTGCACCGCCGGACAATAACAACAGGAGAGACGCCGACGTTTCATTAAGATTCCGTGGCGCGTGAAAAACGCGCGCCTCGTGGTCCTGCAGTGGCTTATTGCATTTTTCGTAGCATTAAACCAAAAAGGCCAATGCACGCCGAGGTGTGAAGTAGGCCAGCTCACAATGCGCAGCACACCCTGTCAATCGATGTGCTTTAACTAACAAAGGAACAGGTAGTCTAAATTCTGCAGTACTCAACAAATGTTGCAGACTCTTTGCACCAAAAAAGTGGTTACAGTCATCCTAGGTACAATTATCTAAATGCTGTGACCTTGGACCCGACATGTAACGTCATCCATCAACGACAGGCTAACGGATTGGTATGTGCCGAGGTCGCACGATCCAGGGATATCTCTGGCCTTTTAGATCAGCCAGATTGGGCCATTTTTTCAACACTGGTTTCAAAGATCCCCAGGGTGGGCGGTGGGGAGGTTAAATGTCCGGGCCAACAAATGGAAGGTGGTGAATGTGCCACCAAATGGCATTCCTGTATGGTTCACTCAGTGTGTCGTGCCACATTTCGGTGGGCAGGAAAGCCTTCACAAATGCAACTTCCTGCCTGCTGACATTTAATGTGGCCGAACCATATTTCGATTCATTTGCATTGTTAATCCAATCCGGGAAGTGTTCATTAGTTTTCCGAGGCGTTCGGGCCAACATTGGCGTGCAACAAACTAGCGGGATGCGTCGGCGGTGAGGGCAGAGGTAATCATAATGGCTTGTAAATGAATCTATGCGCGTTAAAGCGGTTTTATAAGCTTTTTAGCTCGGTGAAAGTTTTTGCAAGTGTGTGTCCCTGCTGGAATCATCACTAACGAGTTCGTCTTCTGTGATCGCCGCGGTTCAGCATAGTTCGTGCAGTCGGCAATTTGTTTCTTTTCCGCTCCCCCAGCTAGAAGACCGCTGCGCTTCGCCCTGATCAACCCCACGGCACTCCAGTACATTGGTAGGCGGCATCGCCATTAGTCGCACCGTTCAGCGGCGATGACAGGTAGCAATAAATTTGAACTGGAATCAAGCTGGTGCCCGTATTCCCAGACGCGTCCTTATCGATTCATACAGTCTGATGCTTGTTGAGAATATGATGGCATAGTCCATAGCGTGGCAAGCATCAATTTTGGCTTGGCGTCCACGCTCATGGCACACATATGTCGGCTCTCTGTCTGGCTTCTGGTATGCGCAGGCATATGTAGTGCATATGGAAGATGGAGAAGCTTCTTCTGCTCTGGCCAACAGCATTCCAGAATAATACTGCGCCTGTCTCAGGTATAAAATGGCCTACTCTTGAAGCGTGCTCATGTATCCACTTATTAACTCTTCACGCCAGCGTCTATTGGACTGGTACGTTACTTGGTTCCGCCGCACTCCATGGGCACCTAGGTGTCAAATACACGTAAATAAGAATAAACTGGGAGTGAAACTCGTCACGATTCGTCCGGTCTATCAAAATAGCTGGTACGCTTTACTCTGGCAGCGCATTTTTTCTCGTTATTTTCTATCCGGCTGGTCATGTTTATGTATTTGAGCCCACGGGAACGAACCATTAAGTGCTGTAAACATGAAATGACAAATATGTATATAATGATGAAATTAGAAAGAAATGCACTCCCGGAATAAATCTTTGCGGTTATTTCGATAGCCCTGACTACAAACCACCGTACTACTTGTTTTTTTTTTCAACCATTTCATATTTGGTACCAAATTAAGTCCCGGTCCAATACGGCTTACGTGAAAAGGGCTGATATGTCCCGATCCCTTTTGACCCAAAAAGTAGTGACGCCATTCCACGTGCGCTGCGTCGCTGAACATTGCTGGTCACGCGGCCTGATAGTTGTGTTGTTTTCCATATTAACGTGCGACGATGCGTAAGAGCGCGGGCAGAGACCGACGCCGTGGAGCCGCTGGCTGGGCACAGCGGCGGCGTCCGTCTCGAACACCCGGCGGCCAGCGCCGCGGTCGGCCTTAAGCTCGGGTTTCCGTGGCAAGTCCGGTGTCTTGCCCGCAGGGCCTTGGTGCCAACCTGCGGCTGCCAGTGTTACAGGCTGCACGGATTGCTGGATAGGGTTTCCTGACGGCGATCCAAACGTTCCGTGTATTTTTTCCCCGTCGTTCTGCCTGGTGTAGTGTAGATGGCATGTCACTCTGCTTGAAAGCATACATTTGAATTTCGGAGCACTTTTCCGTGCACACGAATAACGTTCACCTAATCTTCGCATGGTTTGGGCTGCTTGTATTGTTTTTTTCCTACCTCTGATTAAGTGCTTAACCTTTGTGAAAAACAACGTTTCATATGGGTGGCGCATTCTGAGTAATTGCCTCGCTGGCAACATTATGCAGTACGTTTGGCTGGAAGCAGGCGGCGCTGGATGGCCCCAAGAGGAAAGAGCAGCGCGGAGGTTTATCTCGCCCCGCACCCCGCGAAGCTGCTGAACTTTGGACGCGCAACTCAGCAACGGGCGGGCACGATCACGGCACTCGCTGAGTGTGCGGAACACTGTTAGAAATGGCTGCTCAAAGTGTGCCGATGTGGCCGCTCAGATATTAAAGTTTGGGAAAAAGCTTTGCAGAGTCGCTGTGGGATGGCGAACGGCGCTTGTCGGGCTCAGTGTGAACCACGTTGAGGCCATTTCCGTTTAGTTTTGCAGAAGTGTGTTACCAAATTATGTCAGTGGAATGCCGCTGCGAGTCGACGCATGTGGGACGTGAAGGTTAGTCCCAGCGTTCCCTAGCGAGCATGCCAAACAGGCTGTTTGGAGCATTGCCATCAAGCCCAGTGTGCCGGGAAGCCTCGCCCTTTAAATGCGTCGGGCGCCCGCATGTCGCGTTCAGGAAGCGGCCGTCCGATACGACGCGCCGGCAGACGAGTAGCATTATCATTCCAGGCGGTCTGAACCGCTCGCCATTCACGGCCGGCGTTGTCATTTCCAGGAATGCCGTTTTTGCGGCTATTCATCTGCCGGGCGCCGCACTCGTCGGCTTTCAGGCTAACGTGATCAAGGGGCGCTGAGGATCGGACGAGCGGGCGCGTCCTTTTGTCCGCCGTTCGCCGAGCTTCAGACTTGATCAATACGGGCACGACCGTGGACTATCAGCTGCTCAGCCACCGGGCGAAACACTCACCGGGGCGGGCGTCGGCGCCGCCGCGCCGCTCCGGCCCCACACACGCGCGCACTGCGAGTTGACCGGCGCTCGTGACAGGCTGCGAGTCGAACTACGCCGCCGCAACTTGGGCCACTAAATCACTCGGCTGACGGCGGGCTGTGTCACAGCCGAACCGAACTCTGATGCGTTTGGAAGCTAACTGTGCAATAATTACGACGCGTCAAGCTGCTCGGGTCGTTAGGCCGGCGTAGTTCACGGCCGTCGGTCGCGGGCGAGCAGCGCCGCCCGGTCGCTCCCTGGCTCGAACCGAACAATGCTCAATCCCGCTCAAGCACTGGATCAGCCCGGCCGCTGAATCGGCTCGGCTTTGATGGCGTACAAGTGTGCCCCCCCCCCCCTTCCCCTTGTCTGCCGTCGATGTCCGGCCGTCCCGCACTCATTACATCAAAGACAGACGTGCCCCTGCGCCCTGAGAACACTGGCCGCGTTCAATCCCTGGGCGTGCGATGGTTTGGAAGCGGCCGAGACATAATGCCCGCTTGCCGGGTCCACCGTCACGCTTGCGGTAGATTTGTAGCGCCACCAGCGGCGCGGCTGGGCGAGCGGTAGGTCAGGATGCGCGGCACGCCAGTCTAGAGTGACCCCGGCCGCCCTGAACAGCCGCCGTTCCCGGATATTAACGGAGGGCCCCCGGCGACAGTGGGTGGCTTCAGGGGCAGATGAGCGACGGCCGTGTTGCGGCTCGGTTGGCCGGAACCTCTTCCGCTCCAGGCACGACGAGAAGGTAGCCTTGGGGTGCCTCTCGGCTGGAGAGCACTTGTGCCTTTGAATAGCGTGATCGGGAAGCCGAAATCGCGGTACGGCACATAACATAGCGCCCCAGTACTGACGACTGATATGATGTTGCCGCTGGGGACTTTTAGGGCGTCTGACGTCGCTGCCGTGTCCCACAGGAGGAGCTGGAAGAGCGGCCACGCGTGGTGTCACTGGTCTCACTCGCTGGCCAACTACAACGCCATCATCCCGTCGGCCAACGACCATGACCAGAAGCCGGTGCGGCGGACAGACCAGCTCGGTGAGTGCGACCACGCAGACGCCGGCGGGCGTGCGGGGCCGGCACGTCGAGCTCACGTGAGTGAGCTGCCGAGAGTCGCTGTTGGTATAGCCACGCCATGAAACGTGAGGCGTCTTCTGACGGTCGAAGCACGTACGACGCCGCTTCTGATGTGCGCTCCAGTTCATTGACCGCCGTCGGAAGATTGTGTGTGCCGCTCAGCGCCGTTGTTTGGCTTTGCGTGCGCGGGATCCCCGGGTTATCTGTTGGCGGAACGACTGCCGGGCGTGATCGCGCTGCCCGCAGTGGGCGACAACTGTGTCGGTGATGGAACTGCCGCTCCGCTCGTAAAACCAGCAACGGCGCCCAATTCGAAGTCTCAAGTTTTGCCCGCTCTCCGCGCCGCGATAAACAGATGAAACGACCCAAGTTCTGCCGCCGAGCGCGACCGAAATCGGACGATTGGTTTGCGGTCCGGCATCTCCCGCTGCCGGCGGCGCGTCGGACCGCAGCTGATGTTGCCTCGAGCTGTGGTGGCCGCCTCCGCCGGTCGTCCGCCGGTCGGGGCGGCCCGTCGGGTCATCGGCGCGGCCGTGTGAAGCGCGTCGGCGGCGCCCGTCTCTGAGATGCAGCGGGAATTGGGCCGGGTCGGCCCACCAAGCGGCCGTCAGCCCGGCTCTAACGATGTGCTCCGCGACCCGCGCTCCGACCCATCTCGTAGCTTGTTGCCATACAGGTGCGTCGAGTGGGCTTGCGGGCCGCTCCCGGTCGGCGGGCCGGATGGTCCACGCTCCCCGGTCCGGATCGCCGTCGCACGGTGTCTGAGGGTCGCCTCAGATCCCTGGGGAACAGGACCGTGGTGACGCCGTCGATAGGACCGCGTGACACCGAGCGGCGCATAGGGTGCACGGGGGTTGGCGATGCGCCTCCCCGACGCCTCGAAGCACGTGGTTAGATTGTGTACTGACGCATCAAAGTGCATCGGTCATGCAGTGTGAAATCCCAGCCAGCGGTCATGGCCACAGCACCAGTGATGTGCGCAGTGTTGGTCCGTAACCAGAATTTCACAGTTGCCGATTCGGAGCGCTGTTCACAGCGGCTCGTGCGTCTCGAAGGCATTGTGTTAGGGTGCGCGCGACGTACCACTTTGTTGTCTGGTTTGTCTCATGTAGCTTGATTTAGAGGCTGCCTTTTTAGAGCCGCCTCTGTCGGTGATCAGATTTCTCGACCTCCTAGCGTTTTTGCCGATCACGTTATCGTCCAGTTTGGGGCGAAATTATAACACGGGTATGTGACGGGACGTCTGTAATTGCTTGTGACTTTCAGGCGGCATTTTCCTGCATTTTGCAAAACATTGGAGCTGGAACAGGACTAATCTGTGCTATCTCCACCCGGTTTCACTTCTTTCTCTGGAGAAATCAAACAGCACCGGGCGGTTTTGCAACCGAGTTGTTTTATTCGGCGTAACTGGCGGGCCACTGGCTGCAGACACAAAAGAGACGCTCGGGAGACGTTTGTCTTTTCAGCATCAAATTGTCATCTTCTCCGCTGCCCCCCAGGCGCGCCGCCATCTTGTCTGGCTAACGCCCGCCTGTGGAAATGGAAATGGCAGAGCCAACAGTGGCCGGGAAGCTATGGGTGATGTTAGTCAAATGCGATTGTCATGCTGTCAGCTAGAGGAGCAAAACTGAAACGACACCGTATTGAATTTGCATGGCTGAATGTCAGCTTTGCCGGCCGCCAACTACTTCGACAGTGGCGGTGGCCGTTATTTGACGTTATTGGGCCAGAGCATTCCCACGCGAGTTTGAGAGATGCGGTTTGTGGTGGAGAGACGCGGCTCCAGACACGGGGCGTGGTTGTATGCTATGTTACCTTATTTTTCCTTGACGTCCTTTGACGTGCTGTTGTTGCGATCGCGGAAGTCTTGGTGGTACGTTCATATTGTTCAGATCATATTGATGTTATTATTTTATTGCTCCTGCCCTTTCTGCACTTTGTTTGCAGTAGATTGGTACAGGTTGCAGGGAAGAGAAGAGAGAGAGAGAGAGAGAGAGAGAGAGAGAGAAGAGAGAGAAGAGAAGAGAGAGAGAGAGAGAGGAGAGGAGAGAGAGAGAGATGAGAGAGAGAGAGAAGAGAGAGGAGAGAAGAGATAGAGAGAGAGAGAGGAAGAGAGAGAGAGAGAGAAGAGAGAGAGAGAGA